AAATAATTAATGAACCCTTTGTTACCAAACATATCTCTTGGTTTGTTTATTTTACTATTGTTATAATTATATGTCTTATATTATTGTATTTTTATTGTAAATGTAAACGTAAAAGGCAAAGACAAATAGGTATACTAGCTTCAAATACTGATAATTATCCACCAACACCGCCTCCAAATCGATCATCAATTATAAACTTAAGAAGATTTCTTCCTGCAAGAAGAAGACGTTCAATACACTTAAATGATCCAATAGAAGAAGATGAAGGCTTCGAATTAAACTCTAGCCATCCCAAGGTCCTGGCTTAGAAAATTGCTGTATTACATCAATTTTCTCAAAAAGGGGAGAGTTGTTATATCATAACCCAACAAGGCTCTATTCATAGAGAATGACTCACATAACCCAGTAAACAGGAAATAGCTCAGCATATTCCAAGGTGCCCTAATCGTCCCAGACAACATTGTTTCAACCTCTAGCTACGTCACTAGATAAAATATTATAAATAGGATCCAATTGAGATTACAGCGTCTTTTATGCGATTAGTAGTCTTGAAGCCATAGCTGTCTTTAAACTATTATTCAACATTAAATTCCCGGCTTTGCCTTTTGCCGTAAAAGTTAAGTTATAATAAGTATTAAATAAATGTGTTAAAAAAAAAGTTTAAGTGTTGTTTTTAAAAAATTAATAACAAGAAGAAACCCATAACAGGTATGACTCTAAAAATATTGATCTATTTATTAAGTTCGATGTGCGTGCTGTTTATTATTAAATCCAATGACGTAATTGATAGGATGTCCGTTTGCTGACACTCTGCTCTCACTTGTGCTATCAAGATAGTATCACGTATGATTTATAGGGAGCAGGTTTACCTTTAGAAGATAATTCGAAGTACTGCATCCGCGTACATTAAGCTAAATGTACAGTCGAAAACTTGTTTTAAACAATTGATTTTATTTAATTTGTCTATAATTACCTACGGTATTTACTATCGAAGTAGAACAATAAGCAAATAACATAAATAATATTCATCACAGTTATTAAAGTGATTTTAAAGTAATTATAAAATTTATGATCATGTATATTACTTTATAATGCGATAAAAATCCAGTTACTGAATGAATTGCAGATTTTACGATAATGCAGATTATGAATTATAAGAGAATTCAATAAAATCATGAAATAGTAGTAAATCTTAATACAGATATTACAGTGCTGGCTGATTAAATCAAACCTTCGGGCTTACTTTGTTTGTGACAACCTTATTAATAAATAAGCACGAGAATAAACGATATAGTATCGACTCAACTGGTAACATCGATATTATGTTGTGTCTTCTTGTGTATCTTTTTTACAAAATAGTTTAAAATTATGGAGTAGGTCAGAATTTAATCTTTTTCAGCATCTCTTGAGTTGATTTTGTATCTTTTTGATCAGCATTTTTTAAGCGTGATAAACTCAAAATATTACTTTGTTGTTGAGCCAGTCTTAAAATCCAAAATGTCTTCCTAGATTTCCTAGATGTTATCGGGTAGCTGCAGTGTTACGGACTCAATACTTTTGTGCAACAGAGATTTTAAAATTAAAATAAATTAAAGAAAAAAATAAATAAATACTTACAGTTTAAAATAATGCTAATAGATATTTAATAATTATTTATTTTACTTGAATTATTGTTTACATTCCAAAGTACAAACAATATTGACCTTGAACTCGAACTCTTCTTTTTCCCATTGCCCAACATATTAGGTACTCTTCTGCCTAAAAATATTAACATTAGCTACGGTTAAGTTAATTATTGTCACCAAAAATCTCCTACCTAGATCAAGGAAGTATGCTTTCTCTCTCACTTCCTGGTTCTGTCTCTTTTTTTGGGCTGATATTGGGCCATGTGGACTCATTAAAGAATCGAAATTTATTTCGGATTTAAAAAGCCTAAAACAAAAAGAAATTCCATCAAAGAGATTGTATAACGAAAAGTTAATCAAAGATGATTATACGCGTTAGTGGATTTGTATACATAACTTTAGAAGGCCGCTACTTCTTCAGGGTAAGTTATCTTGATCTCATCTCATCATAAAAACTTCCAATTTATTGGATTCATCCTGTTTTCAGGCCATTGACTATCGACTACCAACTACCACCTAGCTTTTATTCGTTGCTAACTACCACATAGTGGATTAGTTACTATATCTACAATTATCTTTCATCTAACACATATTCTTGGATGAAACATTGGAATAAGAATCATATTTAATAGCATCACTCACCTTCCAGTCTGTAGCTGTTTGATACTGACCCCAACGCACCTCTTCAGATATAATCGGGTTCAGGTTGGAGCTTTTGAACCATTAAATTATTTGTACTGCAAGGAAACAACTATAACTCTCGAGTGTATAACAGGGCGATTCCAATTAAATTCCCTTTAGTTACAGGAATACCTACAAAACAAGATAAGAACTATTGAATAAAACATATTTTTATATTATATTTTACCAGCTAAACTATACCATCATCAATATCAATACTTTTAGATAAAAAGGTATTTACCTTGCACTATAAACCGCATAGTACTACGTGGCTTCATTTGCGGTTTTGTTAAAATCATATACTGTCAATTTTAATCAAAGATATTTAATCTGTTGCACATAAAGAACTCTTTATGATATTCTGTTTCTTTAAATAAGACACCCAGACCACTCTTCAGCTCAGCAACAATAAAGTTGTATTAAACTGAGTTTTAGCCGAGAGCAAACTATAAAATATTTAGTTTCAGAACTCTGTCTTTGACTGGCTAATTTAATTATAGTAAAATCTGCTAAAAGATAGGCCAGTCGTAATAGCAGGACCTCGATCGCGAATATGTTTTTCAGTTTTGTGATTCTGAATCAACAACTGCTTAATATTTGGAGAACTCAGGGTGTAGAATATACTCCAGATTCTTATACCTAAATATGAAATGGGCTGTGAGCAGTAGTGCCAGCGTAGTTCAAATGGAGCTCACGTAGATTCTTATTGCAGCAAAAGAAATCACCAGAAATAATATCACTGGAAGAAACATCCTCATCTACACAGATAGCAGACAAGCACTCACCTTGGACAGACCACGAATTTATTCAGGGTTAGTGGTAGAATGTCACGAAGCTTTGGCCGAAGTATCCCTCAACAATGTGGTCAACTTAACATGGATAAAAGGTCGCGCCACATCGAAAGGTAACCGTCTTGCTGATTCACTTGGGAAATTACTGGAAATATGGGATTAAACAGGAAGCTGCAGACTTGCTAGGGAGCTTTTAAGTTATCCTGACAACACTACAGCGAACAAATACTTGACTATGACTAGACAGAATCTGCGCCTGATCACAGGCATTCTGACTGAACATTGCCAACTACGAAAAAATCTCTATATCATGGGGTTGTCAGAATCTGTACTCTGCAGAGGGTGAGAACAGGAAGATGAGACCATCGAGCATATCCTATACGATTGCCCAATGCTCTCGTTTATTAGAAGATTTGTATTCGGCGAGAATTGGCCAATACCGGCCGATATAATAGAAGCGACGTTGTCAACTATATTGAATCTGTAGGCTGGCTCACGAGCTAAGAGGTACCTATCTACTTGAAAGAATGTACAATGGGTGTAGTAAAGCCTAAGTGCCGTGAGTTAACCCACCCTTCACACGTTACAGATACAGAGATGATTTATCGCTATCTACTGACGTCTCAACTGGCAACGTCGATATTATATTGTATCTTCTTGTGTATCTGTTTTACAAAATAGTTCAAAATTTTGCGGTAGGTCAGAATTTAATCTTTTTTCGCTACTGTAAAGTTGTTTCTTATCTTTTTGACCAGCATTTCTCTAGCGTGAAAAACTAAAAATCGTCCTTCGTTGTTAAGTCAGTCAGAAAATCCAAAATGTCATCCTGAATATTATCGGGTAGCTGCAGGACATTGGTCACGAATGGGTTGGTGATTCTGGATCAATGTCTGTCTAATATCTGGAGAACTCTTCTCCCAAAGACCAAAGGTGCTTCAGGAAATTGTTTTGCAACCTATTGTTTCTTGCTTTCTTTATCTAGTTGCTATGAAAAGTTAAATATGGTCGTAGTTTGCAAGTATGGTAGTATTTCTGCCCAAAAGGTTATATGTAATATTCAAATTGTTTGAGAATTTGAATATACAATTAGTGCCATAAATTTGAATAGTAAGGTTAAGAAATTGGTTCATTAACACGGTACCTGCCAGGATACTTTAAAAAAAATGTACCAGGTCCTGTGTGCCACGCAAGTTTTTTTTAGGAAGTAATTTATTAGTGACTAAAAATTACTAAGAAACTAAAAGAAATACAAAAAGTTCATGTTATGTGCAGTTTTGGTACACACGGTGCATGACCACAGTATCTTTAATACTTTTGTGGCATGCGCCATGCGTACTACATATGAACACATCAACACATGAATCTAAAAAACTAAACTAAATTCTCTTTTTGTTGTTTATGTTTATCCTTTTCTAATCTTATCACGTTTTCATTTGAAAGTTCAGTTTTCTTACCAATTTTTTAAGTTTTGTTTCTTTGCGTTATAGCTAGGTTTTGTAAAAATTTGGGATTTTTTTCTTTGTTTAAGTTGACGTATGTAGATAAATATAAATAAGCAGAAATAAACATTTTTTTCTAACCTTTATTTTCTTTGTTGTATTACAAAAAAAAAATCGCAAGCTGTTACTACATATAGTACACTCCCACGCCAGACCTAACGATACATGCATTTAAATCAACGCTAAATACGACCGTCGCATGTACTGTACAGATGGCCGAGGAACTTATAATACATTTATCCTCGTAAGGTACATATAGCGAACAGTTAAAATGAGCTGTGTCCAGAAATGGTACACATGGCAGTTAACGTGTTAAAACCAGAAATATAACCCTAACCTATAAAAAATTATTTTAAACGATATATTTTAACTAATTTACTTACTGACATTTTCTTTTGTTACAGATAAACCATGAAACCGGTAATAATCATTACCGTATTCATCTTTCAAGTTGCTCAAAAATTTGTGACTGGAATTCACCCATCATACAATATATTTTCGCAGCAACCTCAACAGACTTTAAACAACAATGGTTTGCAATATTTTCCCCAATCCTATCAGTCTATTTCTGGGGGAGGACGAGTACTAGGGTAAGATTCTTATGATAATTCAACAAATTTCGTTAAATAAATGTTTCTGTTCATTTGGAAATTAGTTTAATAAATAGATTCATCTCAAAAAAAGTAAGCATCAAAGGTATAAATTTAAAGAACTTGTAAATGGTTTTTTCTATATTTGGTTGTTTTTTGGAGGGAGAAGTAAGCCACTGGTTGAGTAAAATAACGTGTATGTATCCTTTTGGTTAAATGATGAAATTAAGTGAGAAATAATTTGAAATAGAACAAAAAAATGATACCAAAATGTGCATTACAACATAAGATTTCTAAGTAAATAAATATATACATTTAAAATCCAACTATTAGCCATATAATTAGAAAGAATGCAAACCGAATTAACTTCAACAAAAAAAAAACCTGAAAAACAAACAGATAACATAAAAGCAGAAGTCAGTCAAGTAAAACTTCGTATCGATTCACTAGAAAAAAAAAACAGATTTAAAAAGAAAAATTGAAGTTTTAAAAGAAATGAAAAGAAAAATAACTAAATATTTTATAATATATAGAAAATTAAAATAGGAAAATCATAAAAAAATGTGTTTTCTTAACAGTTTTGTGTTTTAATTCAATTATTGTTTGTTTAATTTATATATCTACATGTAAAATTTAAAGTATGGGACAGGCGAAGGATATGAATGGTTATAAAATGATTGACTTATTATTAAGAGCAAATGTTAAAGTAAAAAACTGGAAATCTTAAACTTTTAAATATAATCCTGCCGTCAACGTGCAGATTTGTGACTTATTTTCTTATGGCCGAATTAATTACTAAATTGTGCTATAATACATGTCCAACGATTTCACAAAATCGCGACGTTCAGACTGAGGCGCTTAGGTGTAGCTATGGACATTGCAAGGGGTACGTACCTCTCAACAACTTGACTTATTTTTTTAACATTTTCGTTATGCTCATTCGACAATAAGTGCCCTACTACAAGAAATATTAAACCCTCCAGCGTTTTAAAGTAGTGCGTGATAAAGCATGCACGTGACTTATTTGCTTGGTTGGTTTTTGTTATGTTTTTCACAAAATTCACGTCCTAAGAAAATAAGTCGCGTGTATTACCACTCACGTACTACTCTAAAAAGTTTGAGAGAAATTAGTGGAGGGTTTAATATTTCTTGTAGGTGAGTACTTATCGTCGAACGAGCATAATGAAAATTTTAAGAAAATAAGTCAGTTTTCAAGAGAGCCATACTACTTATAATGTCTAATATCTTATTACGCATTAATATAATAAGAAAATAAGTCACTCGTACGTCCTCTCACGCACCACTTTAAAATGTTGCGCTTTGGAGAGAAAAAAAATGGCCCATCGAAATTGGTAGAGGGTTCCATATATCTTGTAGGTGGGCCACGTCAAGTATGCATAACGAAAATGTTAAAAAAATGTTTTTGAGAGGCATGTACCACTTGTAATGCCTACAGCTACCTAAGCGCTCTAGTCTGAACATCACGCACAAATCTGCACATTGGCTGAAGAACTTTTCATGATTTTTTGATGATTTTTTTATAATTTTTGATGATTTTTTGATGATTTTTTGATAATTTTTTGATAATTTTTTGATAATTTTTTGATAATTTTTTGATAATTTTTTGATAATTTTTTGATAATTTTTTGATAATTTTTTGATAATTTTTTGATAATTTTTTGATAATTTTTTGATAAGTTTTTGATAATTTTTTGATAATTTTTTGATAATTTTTTGATAATTTTTTGATAATTTTTTGATAATTTTTTGATAATTTTTTGATAATTTTTTGATAATTTTTTGATAATTTTTTGATAATTTTTTGATAATTTTTTGATAATTTTTTGATAATTTTTTGATAATTTTTTGATAATTTTTTGATAATTTTTTGATAATTTTTTGATAATTTTTTGATAATTTTTTGATAATTTTTTGATAATTTTTTGATAATTTTTTGATAATTTTTTGATAATTTTTTGATAATTTTTTGATAATTTTTTGATAATTTTTTGATAATTTTTTGATAATTTTTTGATAATTTTTTGATAATTTTTTGATAATTTTTTGATAATTTTTTGATAATTTTTTGATAATTTTTTGATAATTTTTTGATAATTTTTTGATAATTTTTTGATAATTTTTTGATAATTTTTTGATAATTTTTTGATAATTTTTTGATAATTTTTTGATAATTTTTTGATAATTTTTTGATAATTTTTTGATAATTTTTTGATAATTTTTTGATAATTTTTTGATAATTTTTTGATAATTTTTTGATAATTTTTTGATAATTTTTTGATAATTTTTTGATAATTTTTTGATAATTTTTTGATAATTTTTTGATAATTTTTTGATAATTTTTTGATAATTTTTTGATAATTTTTTGATAATTTTTTGATAATTTTTTGATAATTTTTTGATAATTTTTTGATAATTTTTTGATAATTTTTTGATAATTTTTTGATAATTTTTTGATAATTTTTTGATAATTTTTTGATAATTTTTTGATAATTTTTTGATAATTTTTTGATAATTTTTTGATAATTTTTTGATAATTTTTTGATAATTTTTTGATAATTTTTTGATAATTTTTTGATAATTTTTTGATAATTTTTTGATAATTTTTTGATAATTTTTTGATAATTTTTTGATAATTTTTTGATAATTTTTTGATAATTTTTTGATAATTTTTTGATAATTTTTTGATAATTTTTTGATAATTTTTTGATAATTTTTTGATAATTTTTTGATGAATTTTTGATGAATTGTTGATGATTTTTTGATGATTTTTTAATGATTTTTTGGACGCCATTATTGGAAATAAAAATGTTTTTTAGGTCAAAAAATGCTTTTTAATGCATAAAGTGGTATGAAAATAACAATTAAAAATTGATTTTTTCCTAAAATTTTAACACCCTGTATCTCAAAAGTTAAAATGTTTATGACATACATTCATAGGAAGTTTTTTTTAAATAGGTCCAAAAATCACCATCTTAAATATTAGCATGCTATTAAGAAGCACCCTATATACTACTTGTGAAAATATTCAGTAGTGAGACAAACTTTGACAAACAAAAATAATATTGATATAAGCATTAAAAGTATTAGTTTGTGGAAATAATGGTCATATCGTATGAAGACGAAGTTTGGGCATATTATTTATTAACTTAAAATATTATTTCATAATTTTTACAAATTAACATTTTTAGGGGAAATAGTTATTTTGGTAACTTCGTTCCATCCGGTCCACCACCTCAGCCAGGAATACCCCTGGCACCTCAGCCAACTCAAGATCCCGCAACATTGGGATGTGGTACTCCACCCGCATCTTGCCCCAATTCGAGGTACAGATCTTATGATGGTTCTTGCAACAATTTGAGAAATCCTATTCTTGGAACCCCAAATACGCCTTACACAAGATTGTTGCCTCAAAATTATGGAGATGGTAAGAAAACAAATATTAATTTTGATGTTATATTCTTACTTAATATAAATAAAGGTAGGTAGGTAGGTAGGTACTTTAGTTGATCATTATAAAGCAATAATCTCTTTCTTGTTCTAAGACACATTGCACAAACAATGCTATAGAAGTGTAGGAGAAGAAATATAGTTAATAACTTAAACGTTCCAACTTAAGCAATCGACATTAATAACTTTTAACGGAGACTGTAACAATGAAGTATCCAGATTGATAACCGCAAAAAACTATAAAAAGCAATTTTTTTATAATAAAAATTAATGTTTTAATAACGTTAATAAACATTACTTTCTATTGCACTTGTTTTTAACCTTAAACTATAAAACTTTGATATATTGTGGTTATAATAATTACTCTATAATTCATTGACACACATTTTATCGACTATTATAAAATATTAAAAATGGTTAGCAACAAAGAATTGCTGTATAATATTTTATTATAGATTACTTAATAATTTGTTTGGGATAGGTATAAATTCATATTTTTACTGAGAAATCAAATTGATATTACATTTTTTTTTTAATTATTAATTTATCAGAATCATTATTTAATATGTAGCAATTATTTTTTATAAACAATGTTGCTAATTGAATTGACCTTAGATATTATATACAGGGTATCAATTTAAAAACGAACAGCATTTAATATTGCCTCTACCAATAATAGTATGAGAATTTGGTGAAACACAGGAAATTTTTATGGTATTACTTTTAATTCCCTGATCCTTTCGTGTTTTGGTAGAGTTTTCAGTTGCCATCGAGACTTACAAATGGTATTGTTCATCACAAAGAGGCACTGCTCACATTTATGATAATATATTTTGTATATTATATAAATTAAAATGCAATTTTTTCAGGTATAAGCAACCCTACTTTGGCCAAGAGTGGAAATGAGCTACCATTATCAAGATTGGTCAGTTTAATTATATATCCAGATGCGCCGATTGAAGATCCCATATTTACCCTTAACGCTATGCAATATGGACAAATTATTACCCATGATATGAGTATGATTCTTGGAAGTACCCAAGCACGTGAGTAATATAATAATTTTTGCACAAATCTTTCTTTAAGACTGGTCACATTGTACGGTTTGTTAATTTTAAAAATGTATCTTCAGAACCTCATGGTACACGTTGCTGTTCTCCTGATGGTCAGTTACTTGAATTGGCGAACATACCTGAACATTGTTACCCTATAGTTTTACCTGAACATGATCCACAGCACTCTCAAACCAACACCAGATGTATGAACTTCGTGAGAACCATAACAGATCGTGACCGTAGATGCATTCCTGAAAATCAAGCTGCTGAACAGGTAGATTAAAGCATATTATATAATATTTGTTAATAACATTTCAACATACATTTAATCTTTAGTTGACAGCTGTAAACCATTATTTGGACCTCTCCATAGTATATGGAAATACAGATCAAGTGAACCAACAAGTCAGGCAATTCCAAGGTGGTCGATTGAGAGTAGATCAAAGAAACGGACAAGAGTGGCCTCCAAGATCCTTGAATGCATCCGGAGTTTGCGCCATTCAGAGCCCACAAGAAGCTTGCTACCTTGCTGGTAAGTAAACATCAGATCTACCAAGACATAAGTGTTTCAGCAAATATTTAATATATTTTAGGTGACGCCAGAGTTAACCAAAATCCCCAACTCACAGTTCTGCAAATCATTCTTCTCAGAGAACACAACAGAATAGCTAATGCTTTGTCCAAACTTAATCCCCATTGGGATGACGAGACTATCTTTCAAGAGGCTAGGATCATCAATATTGCCCAGCATCAATTTATATCTTATTATGAATGGCTGCCAATCTTTATTGGTGTAAAGAACTCGTTGAAGAACAAGATTATTTTTAATACCAAAGACTTTGTCAACGATTATGATGAAAGTGTTAATCCCACAATTCTTAATGAACATGCCAATGCTGCTTTTAGATATTTCCACTCTTTGATCGTTGGAAGTTTAGAGTAAGTACAATGTTTGTTGTAATATTTATTAATAATTAACTTGTAATTGGTATGATTAACCGGCACTAATAATTTTATTACAGTTTAGTTACTGAAAAACGTTCAAGTTATGGAAGCCTGCGATTAAGTGACTGGTTCAATCGTCCTCAGATTTTGGAAGAAGGAGATAATTTTGATCAACTTGCTAGGGGCCTCAATACACAACCAGAATCAGCATCCGATCAATATCATACCAGTGAAGTAAGTTTTTGACGTACGCTACAAGTTTTTCGGTTTCTTTAAATTATTGCAGGTTAATAACGTTCTCATTGTAAATTTTTAGATTACTCAATTTCTCTTCAGAGCTGGTCAACCATTCGGAAGTGATCTCAAAGCAATTGATGTCCAAAGAAACAGAGATCATGGATTGGCCTCATACAACGATTACAGAGAATTCTGTGGTTTACCTAGAGCTCATACTTTTAATGGATTCTTAGATGTGATAAGCCAAAAGGTGAGAAACTACTGTAAATTGCCAAAAATAACTTTTTATTTCATCGATACATTAATTCCATCAATGCTTTCATATTTATTTTGTTCTATAATACCGGTCTATTTATTTCTTTTGAAGTGTATTGCATCTAGATAGATCACCCGATATTTTGCTATGTTTTTCGGTCAAAGAAATATTAGAAGTCAACAAAAGCAAAATATTTTTAGAAAACATTAGAGAACATTGCTAGAGAATAGTGTTAGAAAACATTGTTATAAAACGTTGTTATAGAACATTGTTAGAGAACATTGTAGCGAACATTATTAGAAAACATTGTTAGAGAATAGTGTTGACATTATTTGAAAACACTGATAGAAAACACTGTTAGAAAACATTGTTGAAAACCATTGTTAGAAAACATTATTAAAAACATTGTTATAACACTTTGTTAGAAAACTTTGTTAGGACACTGTTAGGACACATTGTTTGGACATATTGTTGGAAAACATTGTTAGGGTAGATTGTTAAAAAGCATTGCTAGAAAATTTTATCAAAAAACGTTGTCAAAAAACATTGATAGAAAACGTTGTTAGAAAACGTTGTTAGAAAACGTTGTTACAAAACATTGTTACAAAACATTGTTACAAAACATTGTTACAAAACATTGTTACAAAACATTGTTACAAAACATTGTTACAAAACATTGTTACAAAACATTGTTACAAAACATTGTTACAAAACATTGTTACAAAACATTGTTACAAAACATTGTTACAAAACATTGTTACAAAACATTGTTACAAAACATTGTTACAAAACATTGTTACAAAACATTGTTACAAAACATTGTTACAAAACATTGTTACAAAACATTGTTACAAAACATTGTTACAAAACATTGTTACAAAACATTGTTACAAAACATTGTTACAAAACATTGTTACAAAACATTGTTACAAAACATTGTTACAAAACATTGTTACAAAACATTGTTACAAAACATTGTTACAAAACATTGTTACAAAACATTGTTACAAAACATTGTTACAAAACATTGTTACAAAACATTGTTACAAAACATTGTTACAAAACATTGTTACAAAACATTGTTACAAAACATTGTTAAAAAACATTGTTACAAAACATTGTTACAAAACATTGTTACAAAAATTTTTACAAAACATTGTTACAAAACATTGTTACAAAACATTGTTACAAAACATTGTTACAAAACATTGTTACAAAACATTGTTACAAAACATTGTTACAAAACATTGTTACAAAACATTGTTACAAAACATTGTTACAAAACATTGTTACAAAACATTGTTACAAAAATTGCTCGAAAACTTTGTTAAAAATAATTTTTAGAAAATTTTGTCAAAAAACGTTGTCAAAAAACATTGATAGAAAACGTTAGAAAACGTTGCTAGTAAACTTTGTTAGCAATCATTTTTAAATACATTTTTAAAGAACATTGTTCGAAAACATTGTTAAAAAATATTGTTTGTCAAAATGTTAAGGTACATTTTTAGCGATCATTATTAGTAAACATTTTTATCGAACATTATTAGTAAATATTTTTGCTAACATTGTTAGAATGCATTTTTATTTAATATTATTAGCTGATATTATTAGTGCATATTATTCGCGAACATTGTTAGCAAACAATGTTAGCAAACGTTGTTAACGAACAATGTTAGCAAACATTGTTAGAGAACATTTTCAGAAAACATTGTTACATAACATTGCTAGAAAACATTGTTTAAAAACATTGTTAAAAAACATTTTTCGAAAATATTGGAAGACTTTGTTAAAAAACATTGTTAGAAAACATTGTTAGAAAACATTGTTAGAAAACATTGTTAGAAAACATTGTTAGAAAACATTGTTAGAAAACATTGTTAGAAAACATTGTTAAAAAACATTGTTAGAAAATACTGTTAGAAAACATTGTTAGAAAACATTGTTAGAAAACATTGATAGAAAACATTGTTAGAAAACATTGTTAGGAAACATTGTTAGAAAATATTGTTAGAAAACATTGTTAGAAAACATTGTTAAAAAACATTGTTAGAAAACATTGTTAAAAAACATTGTTAGAAAACATTGTTAGAAAACATTGTTAGAAAACATTGTTAGAAAACATTGCTAGAAAACATTGTTAGAAAACATTGTTAGAAAACATTGTTAGAAAACATTGCTAGAAAACATTGTTAGAAAACATTTTTAGAAAACATTGTTAGAAAACATTGTTAGACAACATTGTTAGAAAACATTGTTAGAAAACATTGTTAGAAATCATTGTTACAAAACATTATTAGAAAACATTGTTAGAAAACATTGTTAGAAAACATTGTTAGAAAACATTGTAAGAAAACATTGTCAGAAAACCTTGTTAGAAAACATTGTTGGAAACCATTGTTAGAAAACATTGTTAGAAAACATTGTTAGAAAACATTGTTAGCAAACAATGTTAGCAAACGTTGTTAGCGAACAATGTTAGCAAACATTGTTAGAGAACATTTTCAGAAAACATTGTTAAAAAACATTGCTAGAAAACATTTTTAAAAAAACATTGAAGGAGAACAATTTTAAAAAATATTGTTGGAATACATTGTTAAAAAACATTGTTGGAAAACATTGTTAGTAAACATTGTTAGAAAGCATTTTTAGAAAACCATGTTAGAAAACCGTATTAGAAAACCTTGTTAGAAAACCGTATTAGAAAACCTTGTTAGAAAATATTGTTAGAGAACATTCTTAGAAATCGTTGTTAGCGAACATTGTTAAAGAACATTGTAAGCGAGCATTGTTAGCGACATACTGTTAGCGAATGTTATTAGCTGATATTGTTGGAAAATATTGTTAGCGAACATTGTTATGGAACAAATTCTATAGTATTTAATTTTTATTTTAAAATATTTTCAGAACGTTGAAAAATTATCAACTCTTTACGAATCACCTGAAGATGTAGATCTGACAGTAGGCGGCTCTTTGGAAGCTCACGTGCCAGGAACTCTTTCTGGGCCAACTTTCTTGTGCATTTTGACCGAACAATTCTTCAGAACCAGAAAAGGAGATAGATTCTTCTTCGAAAATTCAGGAACCAGTGGTTTGAACTTGGACCAACTTAACGAAATTCGAAAAACCAGTATTTCTAGATTGTTGTGTGACAATTCTTATAACGTTAGGGCCATGCAACCTAGAGGATTTGAAAGGATTTCTCACAGGTAATATTAACAAATTAACACTACACAATTACAATATCGAACTAATATGGTATAAAATAATGGTATGTTATAATGTATTAATAAAAAATTATCATTTTTAGCAATCCTGTTGTTCCTTGTGAGAATTTACCAGCTGTAGATCTCTCATTATGGAAAGATATGAGCAGTGGACATGCCTTGCCATCTGCTGGTGTTCCACTGGATACCGTTGGATATGGTGGCCACCTTTTTTACAAAAAATAAACGGCCATATTAAGAAATTTTTTATTTCCTGATAATCATTAGAATTAAGTGATAGTAAAAATGTTTTTTTTTGTTTTAATAATATCCTATAGATAGTAGATTTGTTTCGTTAATTTTAAGGAAACGAAATTCTAGAAAATCATACAGTATTATTTAAGAAATAAATAACAAATTCTCTTATATATTTTTACATAATTTTTGTTTTCGTACTTTTAAGGTATTTGTTTTTTTTTTTAATTTTGGTGCTCAATTTTGTAAAAATACTAATCATTTCTTTTACTTAAAAGAAGATTGCTCATTATCTAGAAAAATTCCAATTAAAATATATTAAGCTATTTTTTAATATTGTATAATACAATACCTAATATGGATACTAATAATTTAGTTAGGCTACGCCATTTTTATTAAGTGTTGGAATATTATTTTCCATGTAATTATTTGAAAAACAATGCTCTCATGGTTGACTCTTTTGAATTATTATTATCAATCAACACAGGACAGACTCCTGGAGAGATTGGTTTGATAATAGTCAATTTGGCTTTCAAATAAAAAAGTCTTCTTAATTATGCGCTTTATACCTGCCTTCTACCCGACATCACAACCGATCAAACTCACCAAAGGGTATTCCCAATAAAAATATTTCTTTAGTCATTTTTTAATATGGTCAACAACAATATTAAAAATGAAGAATAAGCCAATAATTGATGATCGTTAGGTGGAAAGTGTCAGAAGAATGACTAGAAGTAAATGGAGTGACATAAGATGTAGAAGAAATCATCTTAAGAGTTAAAGCCAGAGATAGCAAGGAGAGGAGAGATATTTTGAATTTAATATACCTATTTCCTCGGCATTACAAGTACAAATGTACAATTGTATAGATGCCGTTAGGTGTCTGGCGTACTACACTCTTAAGAACTCTAACAAAGACTAGCTTTTATTATTATAGCTAAAATATTGCTGCTATAATATTTCCAAGTATCTAATTATTAATCATTTAGAGTCTATAATGCATATTATGTGTTCTTAGATAATAATAGCTAGTAAGGGCTCAGTAACAAATGATTTGATTGGGTTTGCTCAGAAATTACTTTGCGAAATTTCAACAGTTTACAAATATTTCAACTAAAATTTTTTAATACAGCTGAATTTCCAGACAATTAAATTTAACATGAATTAAGATAATTTAATATCAAAAGCCTAGATGAAAATAAAGTTCTTTTAATTACTGAGAAACTTTTTATATGTTTTTGCCTCTTTTTTTTTCTTCTAAAAAGATTCACATTTTAAGCGCTTATTTTTGAAAATTTTAGAGTTGATATATCATAGGAGCATTGCGAAACGTATTTTTTTAATAGAAATCTCATACATTTTTTATGGTAGTTATATATAGGTACTTTAATTAATTATATTAATATTTCACGTTATGCATAAGTATAAAAAAAGGTTGTAAATATTTGATCTGATGAGTATTATTATATTTAATAATTTGTTGTTACAGTATTAATATTATTTTTTTTATAGTTATTATTTATTGAAAATATTTTTAAACATTTTCATTATTAAAATGTAAATAGGTATTTTTGATAATAAAAATAAAATTTCAGTTTTTATTTTTATTTACCCCAACGCCAATTATGTACTGTCTTGTATTTATTACTCAAATTTTACTAAAAATATACAGTATGCCTTACTAAGTTGGAAACCATAAGGAAAACTTTTTTAAAATTGGTTTTCTAAAAAAATTTATTCTTGATAAAAGTTCTGCATGGTCCATAACATAAAATGCAACCATCGTATATTAATTTTTTTAGGCTATATATGAGGTTTTTTAAAAAATATGATTTTTTCTGAATAGTAAAGTACCTTTATTTTTGACAAACCTCGTTTACGACTGATAAAATTTGATATCCGATGGTTGTATTTTAGATTTTAGAATGTGCTGGACTTTTTATGAAGAATAACTATTTTTTCTAATATTATTAATATAAAAAGTTTTTCATGTGCCACCAACTGTTTAAGTAAATTGACGGCATATGAAAAATTTTTCCATATGGTTCCAACTCGGTGAGACATATTGTATATCTTATAGACAAACCGCGGCTCGCAAGCCGCATGAGGGGGGTAGCCGGGACTATTTCCCGGGGCCCGGGCTCAAGTGGGGGCCCGGCCAGCGGCATAAGGGGGTCCGGCAGCTTTAGGTGAGGACTTTTTTTTAAGACCGAGTACTTTTTTTTTGTTAGAAACTACAACCTGTCCGCTCGCACATACAGTACGATTTAAACTTCGTGATGACTGCTTGCCTTATTTCTATTTTTTCATATTTAGTTAGGGTTTATGTGTCTTTATCTTTAGTCGAGTACTCTGGAGAGACTTATTAAGAAAAAAAAACATTTCCAGAAAGATAAAATATCAACGTGTATCGTACAATATATTCCTCCTGAGCGCGTATACGCGCACAAAAGACTGGAATTATAGTAAAAATTTGCCACCTGCATTTATCACTTTTCTCTACCTCTGTTCAAAGTGCTTGCCTTTCCTTCAAGATCCTACTTTGAATTATTTTCCACGCGTGTTGAGATTGTGAAATTTTCATTATCTATCTCAAAACAACACTTTTTGTTCAGATTTGAACATTTTTTTTTTATATTCACCAATTAAATTAACATCCTGTATATGAAATTAATTATTTATTGAATTAAAATGTTTAATTTCATATGCAATTAATAATAAACACGTTCCAATTTCGTATCTAGTTCGATGTGTAAATTAGAATAATAAAAATGCTGACTTATTTCAAAATTATTTTCAAAACATTGAACTAGAGAGACTGAAATTGGAATAAAAATATTTTTCTAATGTACATTTAAATAATTAATTAATATTAATTGTTATTGTATATTGTTTATTCTGTGATAATATAAATGTAAATGCAAACGAAAAATAAGGGGATTAACTAACAACATGTGGTAGTTTACTTTACAAAATTATCTCTGAAATGAGATTCATGAAAACCATCTTGTGGTATTAATAACAACAATTATCTATGAAATCTATTCATGGTCCTTCCAGAAAAAGTTTAAAAATTTTGAAAAACCTATGAAAAAAGCAAACTTCAACATGAAGAAAAACAAGAAAATGAAGTCTTTCTGCCAACCTCAATAACAAGTTTGACCAAATCCAAACCAAAATCCAAGAAACAACCGCTTTAAAAAAAAACAACTCGAAGCTCGTATCAAGCGAATTCGACAACTATACAACCAAGGAACTTCCGTTCGATTGAAATTCCACATACTCAAACCCAAGAAGCACCAATGCTTTAAAAACAAATCGAAACTCGTATTAAGCGAATTCGACAACCATACAACCAAGGGACTTCCGCCCGCTTGAAGTTCTCCATATCCAAGAAGCACCAATGCTTTAAAAACAACTCGAAGCTCGTATCAAGCGATTTCGACAACTATACAACCAAGGAACTTCCGTATGATTGAAATTCCACATACTCAACCCCAAGAAGCACCAACCGCTTTAAAAACAAATCGAAGCTCGTATCAAGCGAATTCGACAACTATACGACCAAGGGACTTCCGGCCGCTTGAAGTTCTACATACCCAAGAAGCACCAATGCTTTAAAAACAACTCGAAGCTCGTATCAAGCGAATTCGACAACTATACGACCAAGGAACTTCCGTTCGAATTGAAGTTCTTCATACTCAAACCCAAGAAGCATCAACGCTTTAGACGGATAACTTAAATTCCATAATTTCCGAAGAAAATGCCGTTCAAGATGACCTGCATGAGAAAATTTGAAAGAAAATCAAGAATCGCAACTATATATCGAATTACATCACAGCCGCTATTGTGTTACCTACACTAATAGTTCTACGGGTCTGCTACAAAACAAAATCTGCCACCATCTCCGCCTTGGCCCAACAGCATCGCCGAATCACGCAGAGATCGAACTCCAGAGACTAGCGTCAGTCAGGAACGAAAATCCTCGTGAGTTAGTCGCCAGTATGTTCAGATTTGAACATTTTTCTATATATTCCAATTAAATTAACATCCTGTATATGAAATTAATTATTTATTGAATTAAAATGTTTAATTTCATATGCAATTAATAATAAACACGTTCCAATTTCGTATCTAGTTCGATGTGTAAATTAGAATAATAAAAATGCTGACTTATTTCAAAATTATTTTCAAAACATTGAACTAGAGAGACTGAAATTGGAATAAAAATATTTTTCTAATGTACATTTAAATAATTAAATAATATTAATTGTTATTGTATATTGTTTATTCTGTGATAATATAAATGTAAATGCAAACGAAAAATAAAGAGATTGACTAACAACATGTGGTAGTATACTTTACAAAAGTATCTCTGAAATGAGATTCATGAAAACCATCTTGTGGTATTAATTACAACAATTAAGCTTTGAAACTAATCATCGAAATATCGATGGCTTAATTAAAGCGCTTGGAGGAACAAGGTCCACAAGCCACATTTAAAAAAATTAGATTTGTTTATAGAATAGGTACTTTCTCAAGAAGGTCAGAAGCCACTGTGAAAATATTTCTAGCGTGCTCGAAACCAAACCTGTAGATTCTTGTTGTCCAAATTAAATATCAGGCATTTTTCTAGCCTAGAAGGTTACATGCCACCTAAAAAGCAACATGGCGGAACAGAAGTAGCTGACTGTAAAACGAAAAGTGTTTGAAAACGAAGTTTCTAGTGCCAGTTCTGGAAATGATTTAGATTCAGATGATAGTGTGAAGGACCGAAATTATTATCCTGATGTTGGCAGCTCCGATTCTTTGACGGACGACGATTTATCGGTAAGTAAATAATATTGTGGCTTATGACCGTCTTACACTTTTTTTTGTGGCATGTGCCCTTTTACTTCCAGAATAAAGTAAATTATTTTTTCGGGATTTAACCATTGTTAATAATTATTTGTATAAGAAAATAATAAAGTCACTATAAAATAAATTTCTAGTACACGTTAACACTAATTTAGCCAGGCCTATTTCTTAAAAAATGTATTACCCATTTTATGAAGCTTGTGTCCTTTTTGAGTCGAAAAAAATCATTCAGTATTTGGTTATTTTTTTTACAGTCCCACTCCCAAGATAATGAAGCTGATGTATCAAGAGGCGTCTTAGAAACACCCGATAAAGCTACTCCGTCACGATGGCGAAAACAAAATATTCAAAGAAGAAAAAAGAAAAAGCCAAAATCAAA